TTATTATATATATTTAATATTATAAAACAATTATAAACATATAAAATAAAATTTAAAATATAAAATATAATAAAAATTTTGAATTTCTCGATTCGATTTGAATTTTTTAATTTGGATTTCAAAATTTCAAATTTCAAATTTATTTGGATTAATTTTTTTCAAAAAATTTAAATTTCGGATCGATTCAAATTTGGTAAAATTTGAACAAAATTTTTGAGTGATCACCCCTAGTCCTTACCATATACAATGATGGGCACGATTGCATCCATTGTAGATAAAGTTAAAAGACCTACTAGTAAGAAAATTTTGGATGAACATTTGAATGAGGGGATGTAAGAAATTGTAAAATATGTTGATTCTTCAAAGCAGTAGTGGAAAACATATGGATATACAATTATATGTGATGGTTGAAATACTCGCACAAAACATTCAACATAAATTTTACGGACAATTGGAATAAGATACCCAAATCTATTTTCACATTTAGATTTAGTCCCTAGATCATTTTAATGAACTGTGCACTCCCCATTTTTAAAAATCTTTATCATTAACTCCCACTATTTTTTCAATTCCAATTTTTCCATTCAACCCAAAATTCATTTTGTTAATTTTAATTTTCTCTTTATTTGTAGGTTTTTTCGGGCAAAGGAATAAAATTGCGTCTAGCCTTTAGTTCATTCGTGCGAAGAAAAAAGATTGTCTATATCGTTCGATTTTGTTCTAGAGGAGTCTGTGATTGTTGGTGAATTTGTGATGGGTTCCGAATCTAAATCCCTAATTTTAGGTTTATTTCATGCAAGGGAGAAAATGGTAAAGAGAATGTTCGATTCCTCAGCGTGCGATGTTCTTTTGGTGCGATTTTTGATGGTTGATTACAATGGTGTTATTAAGGCTTGCGATTGATTCAAATAAGTATTTTACTATTTTTTCGATGATAGTTGTCTTGTTTGAGACTATAGTTGCAGTAGTTGCTAATTGGATTTCATTATAACCTTTTGTTGGGACAATATATATAGGAAAAAAGTTTTATGGGGGCCGTTGCGATTTTCGTCTAGTATCCATAGGTATTTTCACGGGTACCTTTTTCCAATGTAACCTATATTTATTAATCTTCTACCCATATTGTCTGATATCGTACGATGCGTTTGTTTGAAAATACCCTGACTTTGTTGGTATATACTATGATTAGTCATATATGAGCCTTGAAATTGATCTTATGTGCTTGTATTAGATAATGTTAAAATCTTGAAGCTATGCAGTGGTGTCTGCAAAAAATGATAAAGTTTAAGGTTTGTTCTTTATGTTGATAGTAAATAATTGGAAATAATATAATTTTTCGGATAGACATTCGAAACTTCTAAAGTCAATTTATGCAGTATTAGTCCACCGCGCATATTGTCTACGACACCTAGTTGACAACTTTCGCACTCAGCTATGTGTGAAATATATGTGACATTTATTATTATATCTACAACAAAGTAATTATATTTCATATAGGTAATGCAGAGATATCCGATGCACAATGAGAAGCGATGAACATTCATTTTCAACAAAGCCGGTTATGCACCTCTACAAAAGGATTTTGACCAGTATATGACGTATGTTGTAGAGGCCATGCCACTTGTCCAAAACTTCATTGCACAATTGCACCCTAGTGTCGGGTGAATTATCTATTCCAAGAGACTCGTTGGGGGATAATAAATAACAATATAGCTATGTCATTGAATAGTTGGGTGCGCTCAACAAGGTAATTACCTTTTGTTGGGATGTTTTATTCCATCCGGAAATATGTGAATCATTAACCCAGTGCCGACCTATGATATGGATGTGGTGTGTAACAATCTGCAGACAAAGATAATTTTTCAAATATCATTTGTTCAACCAGGCCGGCCAAAGAAAATGTGATTTGAATCACAAAAAGTGAAACAAATTAAAAATATGATCGTTATGGTCGTTTATAACATAACCGAAGAAATTACAAGGGGATTTTATCGTTGGTATTTCTTGTGTGTTTCTTATGCCTGAATTTTCCTTTGTTTATAAAAGATTGTACATTGAACGTAGATTTTGTATGAGACCACTATTGAATGATTCAAAAATTCTATTGGAAATATCTGTATATTACTTGGCATACTCAGCTATTATGTTAAGGTACATATCAGTCCAAACTAATTCTTCTCAAGTAGAAAACAAAGGTATGTGAATTCACTACGAAAGTATGTTATATATTATTGTAGTTATATAAAATGTGATATGGAGGAATAGTTCTTAACAATGACAATACATTACACATAAATTCTTTTATTTTTTTATTAAATTCTACGTAATACTTGAGGTCCTTTATGTTCCCTAATGCTCGTCACGGTATAACATGACCCATAGTGCACCCTTATCATTTATTTGAAATTATATTAACATAAGTCAAATTTATTTATAAGGGTATTTAATATTTTTGAAGGAGTTGCTACAATGAAATACGAGTATGTTGTGCCGTTCATGGAGTATATTCATTAATATCATATGTTTACACATCGGAGTAAGAGGCTGTATATTTGTGTATGTAAGTATTCATATTCCTATACATGTATAATTATTGTAAACATGAGTATTTAAGTTTCTATCCAAAAATTAATTGATTACTATTGAATCAAATAGCTACTAGTTGATTACATCATACCCACTTTCTCGAAAGTTAGCGTATATCAGCGGATATTTCTAAAATGACTTATGCAATCATCTATCCATATATTCAAGGGTGGATAAAAATATTATTTAGATATATATGACATAACATATCATGTAGTGAACCATAGTAATAGATATTTTGGAGTTATTATATAGCTAATGATGCATAATGTTCTATGTATTTTGATTGTCTGTGCAAGAATTTTTTAGAGTAGGAATAAACTCTCAACAAGAAGAAATGTGTTAGGTAGTAAGTAAATGTTACGCATGAGAAATATTGAATCCTCTCATATTTTGAGGAATGTATTAGTCATTGATATGTACATGAAACGTGACATAAATGCTTTCAAAATATTTGGGGAGTATATATCTTCTCAATATATGTCAAATATGTATAAAATTACTTATAAAGTCTATTCCTCAATATGGGTACATTCAATCAATTCAAAAGTATATACCTTAGTGAATTAAAGGAACAAATATCATCGTTGGGGGTATGTGACTTCCACGTAGGGGTCTCTCGACACCCAACCATGATTGTAGCTAGGTTAGACGGTTGTAGGTTGAATAAATCATTGCAATTTTGTCGGCTTTGTCCACTTAAGGGTCTCTCGACACCCCCACACTCTTTATTGGCTTTGTCCATATTAGCATTTTGTAGACTAGGAAAAACATTCCAATAAACAAATGTATTAGAAGGTATGCAGAGTAAATATTATACGTCAGACATTAAAACTATCTACACTATAAGTAAACATTTGTCATTGAGGTGTACATTAAACGTGTCCACTGGTGCTTTTAGGACAATATGGTGAGTACACATCTTTTCACTATATGTCGAATATGTTATCAATTATTTGTTAAGCATATTTTTTTTTTAATAAGAGTACATGCAATTGTGTTAAAAGTATGTAACTTAGTTAAATGAGGAACACATGTCTTCATTGGGGGTATGTTGTTCAAATTTCAGGGTTTCTCTACACCCAACTGTGAAATTTTGTGCACTAAAGTATATTTCTTAATTTTGTCTGTACGTACCTTTAATACCAAGGTTTATATTTAATGTGAATCACAAATGTCATATGCTAAATTAGAAAGTATAATGATTCTCAAATTTTTTTGCGAAATATAACATCAATGACTAACTATCCCAATTTTGGCAACCAAATGCTTCAAACCTTAACTGTTCTTAATTTATGCAAAAAAATTAATATACAAATCTTACAAATGATACTAGACAACACCTCTAGGATCTTCTGATAAAATTTTCACAACAAATTTTGTTCGATACGTTTTGACATTGTTGAATTCGGTAGCTCATATGCTAGGCGGATAAGTTTCGTGTTGTATAAAACGCAAGTTTCAGAGAACAAATATGCTAGTGGCTCAGAATCATGACTCTCACCTTGGGCCTGACAACATTTAAATACATAAGTCTGCAAGAGTATATACAACACTAATTCAAATTTACGACCTAACTATATAGGTATATAACTTCTTATAGAGGAACGCCAATTGAAAATCAGGATGCATATTATATACTATTTGTTGTAACTAACATTTCGAGGCATTAACGCACAACCGTAAAAACAAACAAAATTTTCATAAATCAACAAAATAAATACATACACAACCAACAATGTGATAGAATATCAACAAATATGTTCAATACTTAAAAACGTCACATGAGAAATTGGCACCAACGATATTTGAACAAAAATTGAACTCCACCTGCCTCATATGTTACTACAAAATTAAACCTAATAATATGAAAATAAAGACACTTCTATATACAATAAGGTTATATTCAATTTAAAACACATCAAAATAACTTATATTTGAAACGATGGTGAGTTATAATGTCGAAGTAAGCTCGGCTGACACTTAGGCTTGTACAAACCAGATAGAGACACAAGACAAAGATATTAGAGTATACCATAAATTTGAAAGCACAAAACTAAACTATCCATTTTACTAAATACAAAAACTTTAACTTAACTCTTGAACTTCGTTTCGAAGAGAAACCATATTCTACTTTTCAAGCAGATTGTTCATCTTTGTTTTATCATTTCGATTGGTCTTTGATCCAAAAAACTTCCAATGCAGTGGCGATGATGATTTTAAAAATGAGTGTTCGAGGCGACGGCCTAAAATGAAAGGAAAAAGGTTTTTGAAGAAAAAAAACTGATTGAGATTTTGTGTAATTTTAGATTCGATTATTTTTTTTGTGATATTTTTTTAACCGATTATAGTATATAAATAATAAATCAAGGTACATCACTTTGAAATTAAATTTGTATAGCACGACAATTTTAGATTATGTAAGTAAAGAACATAGGTTTACATAAATGTAACGGAAGTACATAATATATTAGTTACATAAAAGCATCATTTCAGGGGCAAAATGGCTAGTAGGGAGCTATGTGTAAATATTATACAAAAATAGGGAGTGCATTGCTTTCAAGTAATTTGTAGGGACTGAACTTAAATATTGTTTACTTGACAGGGATTTAAATCAAAATACCCTTAAATTTTATAGTCTATTGTGATATAAATATGATATATCACACTTCAGTCAATTGTACAAGTAAACATTTAAAAGTTTGTCTACACTATAATGAATGAGACGGTGGAATAAGTACAAGTTGTTAGCATTGTATAAATTGTAACCGATAGCGAATCTAGTATAAAACTATTAAAAAAGAATATATATATACCTATCAATTATGAAGCAATTGATAAGGAAAAAAATGGTAATTAAAGTTGCAGTGAATGTTTTTCATTATATTATATTTAACATACTGCTATACGTATTGCATCATTAATAATTTTTTATTAATTGTTAGGAGATGACAAATAGAATATATATGATGAAACTCCTAATTTTATGGAAAATTGCATTAATTTTTTTTTAGTTAGACTTTTACATCATTTGGTAGAAAGCTTAATTGGAGTACATGGTCATTGATTCATACAAAATTTTTGAAATAGATTTGTTACGTATGAAATTTAGAATTAGGTTAAAAGCCCAAGGTAAAAATAAAAATGGGCCTAGCAATCAAGTTGATCGAATTGGTTGAGGGGTACCACGGGAAACTCAGGTAAAATAAATATATTTCCAAGAAATAGCGGGTCAGAAGGTCCTCAGGTCGGGAGGTCCTTAGGTCGGGAGGTCTGCGGCTGGACCAATAAGTCGGATGGTCTTTAAGTCGGGAGGTCTGCAGCTGGACCAGCAAGTCGGATGGTCTTTAGGTCGGGAGGTCTGCGGCTAGACCAATAAGTTGGATGGTCTTTAAGTCGGGCGGTCTGCGGCTGGTCCAGTAAGTCGGATGGTCTTTAGGTCGGGAGGTCTGCGGCTGGACTAACAAGTCGGGTGGTCTGTAAGTCGGGAGGTTGGTAGTCGGACCAATAAGGTGGAAGAGTTGCGTTCGGGCCAAAAGGGCGGAAGGTTTGCGGTCGGTCCAAAGAGGCAGATACTGTTGAGAGTAAGTAAGAATGATACTTTGGTCGATTGAGGGCACATGTCAACAGGAGAAAGGTTAGTAGACGGTTGAAAAAAGAGACGTTGTAACCGTTCGGGCGACGGTTTCTAATACTGTTTCTCAAGGGATATTTAAGGATTTGGATTTTTCTGGAGAAATGATCTTCAATCAACTTCAACAAAGCAAAGTCAGATTCGGGGATCAACACTTTAAATTTTCAGCATTTTTATTTCCAGTTAATGTTCTTATGTACCGTATAGGGTTTAGAGATTCCTAATCTCAGACGCTAATTAATCAAATTTAAGGATATTTTCCATATCTTTGAATTTTACTTTTTGTTTGTTGAAAAAATAAATCAACAAATTGGCGACCACAGTGGGAGAAAGGCAAGATTGCTGATCCTACATCAACAGAAAATTTCATACGACTGAGGTCCGGCCAAATCATCAGAAAAATCAATATGGCAGGCACACAACCTCAATCATCATCAGCACCGGTGGGAGAAAATGTTTCACCACCAGCTATGCCAAATCTAGGGGAGATCCCCCAACCACCTACCGATTGGTTGTCTTATGTTCAGAAAATGAACAATCAGCAAACTGTGTTTATGCAGAACATGTTGCGCGAGCAACAAAATTTTATGCAGAACATGTTAGATCAAGCCTTATCAATGGTTATTCTTCAACCCACCTAGACGCTGCCAGGGGTGTCACCATCAAGAATGCAAGCAAATTTTGCAGGGTCATCATATGTGGATAGCACACTTCCGAGCGCCACAACGTTCAACCGAACAGATAGGGGAAAGACTCCTTTGAATTTCCCAAATAATATTCCTTTGGGACCAAGGGTTGAAAATGTGCAACCGAACATTATAAGAGAGGAAAGGCCAGGGGGACATACGCAGGATCCCATTTTATTCCTGCGCAAAATCCCATTGATGTTCCTGATCATCAACATTTTCGTTTGGGTGATGAAATTGCTCACGTATTGAGGGTTCAGTTTGGTCAAAATCCTCAGATGGCCGACCGACATGCTTATTAGAGACCGTTTCCAGAAAGGATTATTAATGAATATCCTCTCCCAAGGAATTGCAGGCCACCAGATTTTCATGCTTTTTCTGGAGAGGATGGGTCCTCCATTATAGAGCATGTGGGGCGTTTTACAACACAATTAGAGGAAATTGGTAACAATCCTTTTTACAAGTTACAGCTGCTTGGATTGTCCCTAACTAGGACTGCTTTTTCATGGTTTGTAAGTCTGCCACCTGGGCAGATACAAACTTGGGAAGGTTTGGAGATGGCATTTCATGCCAGATTTTTCAATCCCTTGCCAACGGTTTCTTTGACTGACTTATTGGAAATGAAACAATATCCAGAAGAGTCAGCGTCACAGTTTATTGAAAGGGTGCGATCGATGAAAGGACGGTGTCCTACAATAATCAACGAAAAAGATATGACCAATTTAGTGGTCAGAAATATGTATGGTCGCCTAAGGGATGCGCTCACTGCACATGATGTCGAGGATCTGGCAAGTCTCGCTTCCAAGGCTGGATGTTTGGAATCTCTTTTCAGGGAAAGGGATCAAAATTTCAGGCGTAATAAGGGCCAATATATGACTAGTATGGAAACAGAGGCAAACGGCTTTGATTATGATCAAACAAAAGAGATGGCGGCTGAAATAATTTCAGGGAAGCCTTATGTTTGCTCGAAGTTAAAGCTAGCACCAGGAACAGAAGCTAAAGGGCAACCGACCTTTGACAGTTCAAAGGCTGATGAGATATTTGATATTCTGCTAACTGATGGTCAGATCTGAATTCCAAAGGAGCAGAGGTTGGCCACTAAGGAAGAAATCAAAGGAAGGCCGTACTATAAGTGGCATAACTCCTTCACACATAATACAAGTCAATGCACTCATTGTCGAAATGAAATCGAAAAGGCTATTAAGGCAGGTCGGCTCAAGTATATTACTTTGGGAGTGGAGCAGCAACCATTTCCAAAAGTAACCACAACAATGGTTAATATACAAGCAACTTCCATAAAAGAAAAAGGGAATTCATCAAACAATGGCCGACCAGAGGAGAAACTCAAGGTCTGTGAAAAAACAGTAGCTGAAAAATGGGACAACCAAGATGATTTTTAATGTGGAATTAAAGGACCAGGCTTTAGTTCGGGACCACCCGACCAGGAGGACGGGTGCGGTCGGAAGCAAATGGACTCGAAATAAGAAACCTTTACCAATTGATGTGGATCCTCGCTTCGCAGGCATGAATCGTACTCAGATTCGGAATGCCAAGCGCAGGTACGCTGCGAGATACAGAGACAAAGTCGCCTCATCAAAGCAACCGAATGACACCCGAGGCGCTGTTAAGTATTCAGAGGGTGGTCGGTCCATCAGGGTCGTTTCGTTTGAGCAGCCGAATGAGGTAGAGGAAGGTCGGCTCATCGGGGCTGCCTCATCAAAGCAGTCGACCAGTGTACGGGACACTATTAGTTATAATGAGGGAGGTCGGTCCATGCAAAAAAATGGTAAAGGCTTGTCTGATGAAAGAGTTAAGGGTTTTAGATGTCAATATTGTGAGAAGGTTAACATTAACCCATCACTGGAGGAGTTTTGTTTGGAATCTTTGACTGTTCAACCCGAAATTGAAGTTGGAGAGGAAATTCCAGGAAGGATTCAAGGCTGTCAAATCTCGACTAGGGCCATGTATCCCCTGCAGAATGACAGAGATTAATTGGGTTGAGGAAGAGCCTTTGTGGGCAAGTCTGGTGGATGAGTCTATAGAAGAGCCAGAATGGGCAAAATTTGCGGATCCAGACTTTCAATCAGAGGTCCTCCCAATAGTCTTCCTTCCCATTCCAGAAGGCATGGCGTCTCATTTGAAGCCTCTGTACGTTAATGCTCATATTTGTGGAAAACCAATCACAAAGGTTTTCATAGATAATGGGGCCGTCTTCAATGTAATGCCATTAAAAACTCTCAAGAAGTTAGGAAAGGGAATTCATGATCTATCTCTGTGGATTTTGAGATGACTAGCTTTACAGGGCAACCGACCAGACCAGAAGGCATGCTGGTCGCCTCCATTGAAGTTGGTCCAAAGAAGATTTCTTCTGTTTTCTTCGTGGTGGATGCAAATACCACATATTCAATCCTGCTTGGACGAGATTGGATTCATGCATCTCAATGTGTACCGTCAACACTGCATCAACAATTGATGTTCTGGGAAGGCAACCAGGTCTTCAAATGGAGGCAAATGACAATCCTTTTGGAGCATCAGAACAAGTTGAAGAATCAGTTTTCTATTATGGTCATGTACCTCCAATGTATCAGTTTTTTATAGCTAATGACTACCCAAAGAAGGGTTTTAAGTTCATTGGCCAGAATTCAATGTTCTTTTAAAAGAACAGTTGTACTATATGGCTCTTGAGTAAGCCAGACCTACTTTATATAATACATTTCTTATGGAGGGTGCAGAATTACTAGATTGTAGTTTACTTATTAATCAATATTACTTAGACCAGCTTTTGAAAAAAGTAGAAAAAATCAAAAAGATACATGATGTTCATTTCCAAGAAGATGAACAATTTCGTTGGCCTGATCTATTAGAGAAAATAGAGCCAGCTTTCTCAGCACAAGATCCTTTACTGGATTTCAACTTAGGAACCGACCTGGTTCCAAAAGTAATCAGGATGAGTGGTTATTTGTCTAAAGAGCAACAAACATTGATGCTCGAGGTTATAAGAAACAATATTGATTGTTTAGCATGGGATTATTCAGAAATGCCCGGTTTAGAGCGAAGTCTGATAGAACATCGATTGCCCATTAAGAAGGATTTCAAGCCTTGTAAGAAATCTCCAAGACGTATGAGTCCTGACTTGATGCCTCAGATCAAAGAAGAGATTCAGAAGCTTCTCAAAGTGGGTTTCATCCGACCTTGCCGTTATTTAGATTGGTTGGCCAATATTGTACCAGTGTTAAGAAAAATGGTAAGATCAGGATATGCATCGATTTTAGAGATCTTAATATGGCCACTCCTAAAGATGAGTATGTGATGTCTATGGCCGACATGCTAATTGACTCAGCAGCAGGGCGCAGAATTCTTAGTTTGATGGATGGTTATGCAGGATATAACCAAATCTTTTTTGCAGAGGAGGACATTCACAAGACCTCATTTAGATGTCTAGGAGCATTAGTCATTTATGAGTGGACAGTTATGCCTTTTGGCTTGAAGAATGCTGGGGCGACTTATCAGAGAGCCATGAACTCAATTTTTCATGATCTCATTGGTAGGTCTATGGAAGTCTATATCGATGATGTTATTGTCAAGTCTTCTAGTTTTGAGGAACATTTGAGGTATCTTAAGGATGCTTTCAGTCGAATGAAGAAGTACAAATTGAAAATAAACCCGATTAAGTGTGCTTTCGGTATATCAGTTGGGAGTTTTTTGGGGTTCTTGGTTCATGAGAGGGGCATTGAGATCGATGCTAACAAAGCCAAGGCGATTCTTACCAGCCGACCACCTCAGACAGTTAAGGAAATTCAAAGTCTGTTGGGGAAGGTGAATTGTTTCAGGCGGTTCATTTCCAATGATGCTGGCAAAGTCAGACCAATCACTAAATTATTGAAGGCAGGAGGAAGCACCTTTGAGTGGGGACCAGACCAACAGACAATTTTAGAGGCTATAAAGCAAGCATTGGCTCAACCACCTGTGTTGATGCCTCCCAAGAAAGGTCGTCCCCTTAAACTTTATTTGGCAAATACTCATGAAGTGGTCAGTTGTTTATTAGCTCAAGATGGAGATGATGGAAAGGAAATGACAATTTATTATTTGAGCAAGACTCTCACAGGACCAGAATTAAATTATACAATGCTAGAGAAGATGTGTTATTCACTGGTGTTCGCTTGTACCAAACTTGAACATTATATGTTGCCCTGAAGAGTTGAGGTTATTTCAAAGGTTGATCTCATCAAATTAATTTTGGAAAGACCTACGATGCAGGGGAGACTTATGAAGTGGGCAATTAAATTAGCCCATTTTGATTTGTATCATTCTCCCTTGAGGGCGGTCAAAGGCCATGCAATAGCAGACTTTTTGGCAGACTTCACAGGTTGTGAGGAGCAACCGACTGGGTGTATATCTTATGTAAGCACCCGAAATTGGTTAAAGTTTTTTGATGGTTCTACCTCAGGAAATAGATCAAGTGCAGACGTCTTGTTGGAAGGACCAGACGGTCAAAGGGTCAATTTGCAGCTGCAATTGGAAGATATGACCCATAATTCAGCAGAATATGAAGCTTTGATCTTGGGATTGGAGGCTTTGATAGCCAGAAAAGTTCAGTCGGTTATTATAAAAGGGGATTCTCAATTGGTGATCAACCAAGTAAACAAACAGTATGTTCGCGATTATCCCCACTTACGGAGGTACAGGGATTTGGTAGGTCGGTTGCTATCAAAGATCTCCGAAGTGATAATTGAGTTCGTCCCTAGAAAGGAGAATCAATTTGCAGATGATTTAGCTCAAAAAGCTTGCAAGGGAATTCTAAAAGATATGTGCGCAGAGGTCGGCCCTGAAACTGAAACAGAAGCCTATTGGAACACGAAAATAGGAACCGACTGGAGGACATAAATCATCATGTATTTGCAAGATCCAGGAGCAAATGTACCAATTGGAATTCGATTGAAAGCTTTGCGATTTCAATTGGTAGAGGGGGTGTTATATAAAAGGACATTCGAAGGATTGCTCTTGAAATGTTTGAGTCCCGAGCAAGCTTTGGAGGTGATGACAGAAGTACATAGTGGAATATGTGGGGATCATTGAGCAGGTCTGAACATGAGATGGACTATTCATCGCTTATGTTTCTTTTGGCCAAAGATTTTTGAAGATTGCATACAATTTGCTGGCTGCCAAGAATGTCAGAGGCATGGGCAATTAATTCATTTACCAGTCACATAATTGCAAGTTATGGTAAAATCAAGGCCCTTTAAATCTTAGGCTATGGATATTATTGGTAAAATCCATCCGCCCTCATCCAAGAATCATTGTTTTATTTTGGTTGCAGCAGATTATTTCACCAAATAGGTAGAGGCGGTTGCTTTGAAAAATATGGATCAGAAGGAGGTTATTGATTTTGTGCTGAATCAGATCATATATAGATATGGTATACCTCATTCAGTAAAAACCGACCAAGGTCTGGTCTTTACTGGGAAAAAGTTTGTAAGTTTCTTGGCAGAGTTTGGCATTCATCTGAATCATTCTTCATCTTATTATTCCCAAGCTAATGGGCAGGCAGAAGCAACTAACAAGATTATCGTTGGGATCATCAAGAAAACAATTGAAGGGAACCCCAGGAAATGGCATTTGTTGTTATCTCGAGCCTTATGGGCACATAGGAATAACAGAAGTTCTGCCACTGGGTTTTCACCATATCAGCTCACTTTTGGACAAGATGCTGTGTTGCAAGCCGAAGTGCAGGTCTCATCTGGACGCACACGCTTTACCAATGATGAATTTACTGAGGAATACCAACAAATGATGTTGCAGCAATTGGAAAGTCTGGATGTCAACCGACTTCATGCAATTGATCAGATTGTGAAGCAAAATGAGATCAGGGCCAAGACTTATGGAAAAAAAATCTTTTATAGAACATTCAAAGAAGAAGATCTGGTCTGGAAGACTATTCTTCCAACTTATAAGAAGGTTGATCAATTAGGAAAGTGGTCCCCGAATTGGGAGGGGCCATTCATAATTCAAAAGGAAATTGGAAATGGTGCCTTTATTATCATAAATCAAGAAGGTAAAAGGGTACACGACTGTATTAATGCTAGATATCTGAAGAGGTATTTTCCTGGCTTTTCAGATTACAAGAAAGCATGAAACAGTAAGTTTTCAGAACCCATTTGCCAAGGGTTCGAACCTAACAAGGGTTCATTCATTGTCAGATGTTGAATCATGCCGAGGATCACTTTTTCCTGAGTCAGAATCGTCATTCCAGTGATTAGGGATTAGTTCTGGCTCTTCATCAGTAAGGTCTTCTAAGCTAGGTCGGTACTTCTTCCATTGGTCCTGCATCTTCTCAAGATCATAGTCGGTCCGAGCTTTCATGTCTGTTATGGCTTGGCGTTCACGATCAACAAGAGTGCGTAATCTTGAAAAGACTACACGTTGGTTGGAGAAGGTGTGATCCCAACCAAGGTCTGGAAGTATGGCTGTCACGTGGTGTTCAATTAGGTCCATGTGATGATCAATGTTGGGAAGGCGACTTTGAATATCCCGAAGGGTCTCATGTCCTTCTAGCACGTTTTCCATAAGGCGAATGACATGATGGATGGTCTTTCTGCCTCGTTGGGAAAACCTGAATTTGAAATACAATTGTTTGAGGATGCATAACAGGTCTTCAGCATGACCTCTAACTGGATGATTACCCACGAAAAAGGGTTGAATGATACCTTGCCAATTGTTTACAGGAACATGAGGACGGTGGGGTGGCAATTTAATTTCTGTTGGCAGGTGTGTTCAAGGTTTGATTTGTGAGTAAATATTTATCTGTTGATTTGTAAGGACTGCAAATATTTATAAGGATGATGGATGGATTGGTTCTCCGGAGGGTTGGAATCTTGGAAGGTGATCCTTAATAAAAGGAGAGAAATTTTATTTACCAAGTCAAAATTTACAAAAGAGATCCTAAACCAAGTTTTATTTAGGACCATTTGTCCTCTGTTCTGGAGCATCGCCTGTTATTAGCAGCCGACTGGTACTGCTTTATGAATTGGGATCGGGCGTGAATCTTCAACTTCTGGTCCAGGTCGGCTACATTGCTTTGGTATCGATCAATTAGGCGCTGCTCATCGTTTATATGACCTTCCAGGACTGATTTTTCTTGATGAAGCGCCCTCAGTTCTGCTTCTTTTTGTTAGATTTACCCCTCTATTTGTGCCTTGGCATTATTCAGGCCTTCTAGTCGGCCAATTGCCTGTTGAATGGATTCCTTGGTTTTGGTCAAGGAAGCCTCCAGACTTATTCGATCCAAATCAGGCAAGGGTGTCTCAGCCGTCAAAAGTTGGGCGAACAGAACTTCATTCCGGAGTTCGGATAGTCGCTCCGTCAGTTGGTGACGAATGGGGGCAGCAGCCGACTCTGAAGATATTTGGAATAAGAGACCACCAATGGCTTGAAGAAGGCTGTCAAGCAAGTCTGACCCTAGGTCGGGGAAAGGTTGGTTAACAGCCTGTGCAATTATAGCCCGGACGTTCGTCGGAATAGGGACAACCGACAAGAGGGCTAGATCAGAACACCCCGGAAATAAAAGATGTTTATCTCAGACTGAATGGAGCATGAATATTGAAAATTGATTGTGGAAATTGTTCTTACCTCTGGACGGATGGTGGTCACTGAGGGTGCCAGAATAGCCTCAAGTCTGGAAGGCTGGTCTGCTGGTATTTCAATGGCCGACTCGTCGGCTGCTTCCTATGGGCGTTGAGGTTTAGATCTGGGTCCCTGAATGGTGGAAATATAGTATGTTAAAGGTTATGTTAATACTAGCTTGTATTTTGGTATTTTGAAAGAAGGGATCTCAAGTGTTTACCAGATTGATAGAGGTCTCTGATTTAGAAGAGGGAATCTCTTGTAACTCCTGTAAGAGTCCTTGGTTGAGCAAGTACAGGTTCTCCGTCCTGTCTGTCCGCCGCTGGTAGAGGGTCTGCTGCCACTGGGTCGGCTACCCCCAAGTCGGCTGCCCCTGGGTTAGCAACCTCCAAGTCGGCTGCCCCTGGGTCGGTAACCTTCAAGTCGGCTGCTCTTTGGTGTGATGTGTCTGGGGCGGTTGCATCAGAGGTAGCAGAAGCAGACATAGGTGTGGCCACCGGTGCCATAGTAGGTAGAGATGGGTCTAAAGCAACATAAGGTAACCTGCCCATCTCTAAAGCAGTCACCTCACTGGGAGATGAGACCCTTGTTGTTGCCTGCTCGGCGGATGAAGGTATTTTAGTCGAGGCCCAGCGGTTGGTCGGGGGCTCAGGTTCTGGTAGTTGGTCGGTTGGTGGCTTCGCTGTTTTAGTTGGTCTGGAAGCAGGTTGGGCGGTCGCCCGAGCCGAAGCCACACCTGAGTATAAAAATAAGGATTAATACCATGGTAAGGAAATGATCAAGTTAAATTGAGAGTATGAGATTATACCTGGACGGGGTCGGGTCCTCATAGGGGGCCGACCTGATGGGCGGTTTGTTAAGGACGGTTGATTGCCCCCAGAGGGGGGAATAGTTTGAGTCTGAGAGGCTCTTCTCTTCCTCTGTGGAGTACCCGACTCAGTGCCTTGAGTAATCAGGTTCCTTCGGGTGTTGGTCAGAGGAGTCGCCCCTAATGTTATTGCAGGTGGGGGAAGAAGGATGTTCAGCAAGAGATCCTTGTCAGGGGCAATCAAGGCCCAAGTAACCGACCACCACTCACGAAAGGATTCAACTGAAGTTGGAGAAGTTTTGAAAGGGATGTACGAGTTGGAAGTTGTGTAATTTGTGAGCTGGGATACGTACGGGGCAATCGACTTAGGAATGGCTCTCCCATCCGGACTTTGAATTATTAAATGTGGGTGAGCGATGGGACCAGGCAAGCCTTGTTGGCATCCGAATTGACAGGCCAAGAATTGAGGCTGGTAGCTGAATGTATAGAAGACTTTGGGACCATTTTTATCGATTTTCTTACTGGCGAATAGCGACCTGGGCTTAAGAGCAACATCCCAGGAGAAAGAATAAGTAGGATGTGGAAGTGGATTTGGTTGGGACAAAGGTGACGGAACAGGGAATGGCCAAAAAAAGCCGGATGCATAGCCAATATACCTTTTGTGTGGGTAGAAATGGCTATCATTTCGATTATCAGTAAGGATGGCAGTTATGATCGGATCAGACTTCTTGGAGGTTATTACGGCCTAAGCAAAGTCGGTTCAGGGCTACTCCTAGAGACTTCTCAAGGGTGGGGGCAATGGGAGGATGACCGAGTTAGAAGGCGTCGGGAAAATAGAGACGGAACCATAGTTCCAGGAACCAAAAAGGACCCGACGCAGCAGTGTCTAATTTTTTACCATCTTTATCAGTAAGGTGGGCACTAACCCTGGAGAGCCCTTCAAAGAGATTGGCAAGGAAAAGGGTGCCTAATGAGAAGAACCGACCCGAGGCTATATGTATAGCAAGATCAAGATGAGAAGGAAGGACACATTTCGAAGGGGAAACTACTACATACTTACAGAGCCAAAAGAGCAGAAAGGCTGTGTGTTCTCGGTCGGTTACAGGGGTCCCGTCTGCTCCTTGTTGTTCGATTAGAAATTTAGTCCAGCCTCATTCTTTCACGTATGTCAGAGACCAGCCCAAGTGGTCTGAGTTGGGCTCTTGCCCATCTAGGGCACCCATTACAGGGTCTTTTCCCCCAACGATTGACAGATGAGCGATCATGGCCACATCCATGAGGGTGGGGCCGGTAGGGGCTATTGGAAGAAGGAAGGTTTTAATATGATATAAAAAATAAATGTTTAATTGGATATTTATAATGGCAAAAAATTTTAAAAATACTAGGAATCCTACCAAATTCTTGGAACAAAGGCATTTGTGCACCAATCAATTCAAACCGAACTAACCGCAGCAACTCTGGAAACATTTCTTTGAACCATGGTACTTCTGAGTCTCTCGGACTCTCCGAATCGACCCGAAGCAGACAAGATGTTGGACAACAACACATAATCGCCGCCGTATCTCCCCTCAGCCTCCATAATTTTCCTCATCACCCTCTCCCCTAACTCAACATTGCCATGGGAATGGCAGGCGCCTAACACCGTCCGCCATATCACAACATTCCCGCCGACGTTTGAAACCATCCTCTCCGCCTCCTCCAATCTCCCCGCCCGACCTAACATGTCGATCAACGCCCCGTAATGCTTCACCGTCGCTTCGATCCCGTACTCGTCGACCATCTTGTTGAAGAACGCAATCCCCTCGTCCACCAGCCCGCCGTGGCTACAAGCATTCAGAATGCTCAGGAACGTAATCCCGTTCGCCCGTTTCCCGCCGCTCTCCATTCTCGTAAAAAGTTCCAACGCTTCCGACGCCATACCGTGCATCGCGAACCCGGAGATGATCGTCGTCCAAGAAACCAAGTTCCTCCTTGTAACAACAACGCCCTCGAAAACTCTCCGCGCGCTTTCGATGCTTCCACAATTCGCGTACGTGTAGATGAGGCTATTGACGAGGCGGATATCCGACGTATTGAGCCCACTCTTCTCTCCGTACGCGTGAATCATCCGACAGAGCTCGAGCGACCCGGTATTTGCAATTGTCGGGAAAATCGCGAGCAACGTCACTCCGTTGGGGGGGATTCCTTCGTCAACAACCATTCTTCGAAACAATGACAATGCCTCGTAGTACCGATTTGCACGGGTGTAGCCGTCAATCAATCCGGTCCACGAAACGACGTTTCTTGCCGGCATAGCGTCGAAAATAGTCTGAGCAGATCGAACATCGCCGGACTTGACAAAGCCGGTGAGCAAAACGTTCCAAGTGACCAAAACCTTGTTAGGCATTTCGTCGAACACGTTCTGTGCATCAAGCAAAGAGCCGCAATCGACGTACATGTCGACGAGAGCAGTCTGAACGTGGATGTGGGAATCAAAGCCGGCCTTGAAGCTCGAGCAATGGAGTTGATTTCCGAGACGAATTCGCTCCATAATTGCAGAAGCCTTGATGGAGTAAGAGTAGGTGAAGCTATCGAGGGGGTGAGAGAGGGACTGGGATTGGGATTTGAGATGTTTGAAGAGGAAAAGAGCGTCTTGCGGGAAAGCGGAGAGGGCGTAGTGCTTGAGCACGGAGTTCCAAAGGGCAAGAACTCCATTGCAGAAGAGTATCAAGTGAGAATGGATCTGTTGAATGGAACGGCGGCAGTGTTGGTGATGGTGGAGCAGAGAGAGGTAGTGACTGGTGGCGGCCAATGTTTTGGACATTATTGATCATACACCAGAAGAAGGATTAAAGCGAAATAAACATAAATATCACGTTGTTCTTTCCAATTCCAAATTAGCTGATTTTATTGTATTGCATTTTGAATTATAATTTGAAGTATTAATACATAACTAGCTTGTAATATGTGCTATGAATTATTTTTATATCAAATTATATATTACTTTAATATTTTTTTATAAATAATACTTATATTTTTCATAAATATAAAATATATTATTCGAATCAAATTAATTTAATATACGAAAAATATATATATCTATAATTGCATTAATAGTAATATAATTATCAAATTAAAAAAATTACTTAACTCAAATATAATTAATTAAATTCTCTATAAATTATAAATTAGTCAACTATTTTTTAAGAAAAAAAATAATAATTCAAATGAATAATAAAAATATGAAAAATAAATAAATATAAACATATATTTACACAAAATACATTCTATTTTAACAAAAAATTATTTTTTTAATAATAATTTATTTTTCCATACCTAATATTATACATTTTAAATTTGAAAAGTAAACCAAACACAGTCTTGATATTTGTTTTTTTAATTCTTTATTTTTTTAATTCTAAAATAACTTTTTTTTTATTACTCATAAAAAAAATCGTATATACATAATAAATAAATTATAAAAAAATATTTTAATCATAATAAATCTATAAAATATAATAAATAAAAATTTAAAATTTAAAATATTATTACGGTAATAAAATTATTTTCATTTATATTTTTCGTCAAAATTTTTTTTCATCATTTTTCTATCTTTAAATAATAAAATAAAAAATTGGAAAAAATTTAGTATATAAAATAATAAACACAACTAATAATAATCATACTAATATGTAATCAAACAAATTCATAAAATATACCAAATATATTTAAAAATTAAAGTAACCTTGATTATTTTCTTCTATAATTTTTTTAGATTTTTCTTATTCATCACTTCGAATTGAGAAAAAAAAAATTATATAAAAAATAAATTATATGTAAATAAATGCATCAATATTTTAAATTTAAACTAAAAATTAAAAATATTTATCATAATAATATTGTTTTTCTTTTTATGTTTTTTATCTAGATGTTTTTGTTGGTATATGTATTTGAAGAAAAAAGTAAAAAAAAAAATTATATATTTAAATAAAATAATTAATAGTGATAATATAGTATCTAAAAACTTATTAAATATAAAAATATATAAATTATATTCTTACTGTAATACTATTGCATTTTTTTTTTAAATTAGTGAGCAACGATTCGATGATTTTTCAGCAACACTTTCAAATAAGGAATTAAAAAGTAAAATATATTAAAATAATAGACTTTTATTTGACACATACGATAAAATCACTAATAATAATAATAATAATAATAATAATAATAATAATAATAGAGTGAAAAAAAAAGAGAAAAAAATATCAAAATAATAATATTAAAATCAAATAGTTGATACAAATGCACACAATAACATTGTTTATTTGATATTCATTATCTATTTCAGCAATCCTTTTGTATCTTTTTCTTTTTTTTTTTCTACAAAATATAAAACAATCACTTAAAAGAAAATAAAAATATTTTTTAAAAAAATCAATGAAGTAGTATGACGGTAATGAGAAGAGAAACAATTATATATATTAAATAATTTTATTCACTTATATCTACTACTGTTTATTATTAAATTATAATTTATAAAATATAATAAGAAAATAGAATAATTTTAAATAAAACTAAAAAATCAAAATATAAATAACATCTTTTTTTTTTTTCCTCTCACATTATCTTACCCCCTGTTCCTTCTTCTCTTGCCTTTACGATTCCGCCCATTTTCTTGTTTTCTTCATAATCCTCTTCTTCTTTGTAATTAAAATAAAATGCTTAAAAAAACATTACTCTTCCTCTTTCATGTATCTCCTTATTCTTTTCTTTTATCATTCTTATTTTTTTATTAATTTTTTTTCTTCGTCTTCTTCTTTACCAAACCGTAAAAAGGAAAATTGAAGAAGAAGAAATCGAAAATAAATAATAAGTAGAAAAAGAAAAAGAACCTGCACCGTGTTTTTTATTGTGTCTATTTTGACTTAATTTTTACATGTGTGTGTATATATATATATATAAATATTTATATATATATATACAACATGTAACCCATGCTATGTACTTGTTATTTTTATATCAAATTATATATTAGTTTAATATTATTTTATAAATAATACTTATATTTTTTATAAGTATAAAATATATTACTCGAATCAAATCAATTTAATACACGAATATATAATTGCATTAATAGTAATTCCATTATCAAATCTAAAAAATTAATTAACTCAAACATAATTAATTAAATTCTTTATAAATTATAGATTAATTAACTATTTTTATTTTTAAAAAAAGATAATAATAATTCGAATGAAATAATACAAATATAAAAAAAAAAATAAATATATACATATGTTCACACAAAATACATTCTATTGTAACAAAAAAATTATATTTTATTATAATTATATATTTTTTCATACCTATTATTATAGGTCTCAAACTTGAAAATATAAACCAAACACAGTCTTGATATTTATTTAATTTTTTTTTGTATTTTTCTTAAGATTATTTTTTATATTCTAGATAACTTTTTTGTTAAGCATAAAAAAATCATATATATATTAAATACTCCCTCCGTCAGATATAATTTGTTCCTATTTTCTATTTTCATCTGTCCCACGTAATTTGTCCTTTCCTTTTTGGAAAATTAATTATACACTTTAATCATATTTTAAAATTTAAATTTTATTTTTTTAATCTTAATTAAACTATTTAGTTATCTTAATCTTAATCTATAATTATTTTTACTAAATAATAATTATTTTTCTAATACATTTCTTAATTATTTACTAATTATACTTTACCTAAATTTCCGTGTCTACAGTAATACACCCATATTACATGGGACGGAGGGAGTAACTTATAAAAAATAGAATTAATTATTTTTATATTAAAATATATACTAATTTAATATTTATTTAGAAAAAATACATATATTTTTTATACATATAAAATATATTATTCGAATAAAATTAATATAATATACAAAAAAAATATTGTTATATATTAAAATAATTTAAATTTTTATTGGGCTTATAACTGGATTCTAATGTTTGGACCCGCGGATAAACCCAAAAAGAAAGTAGGCCTTCAAACACTCATTGAAGGAAAAGGTCAGCCAGTCGGTAGCTTGGTTGGTCGGTTGGTCAATCGCTTAGTTGGTCGGTTGCTTGGTCAGTCAGTTGGTCAGTAGTTGGTTGGTCAGTCGCTTGGTCGGTCGGTTGGTCAGTCACTTGGTTGGTCAGTTGGTCAGTCGGTAGCTAGCCTGGTCGACTGTCCAATCGGTAGCTTGTCCGGTCGGTTGGCCAGTCAGTAGCTCGTCGAGCCGATTAATTTGTCCGCAGCCTGTATGGTCGGTTGGTCTATCCATAGTTTGTCTGGTCGGTTGGTCGGGTGGTGGCATGGAATGCAACCAAAGAGCGGTTCTTCAGGCGGTTGCAACCGCGAGGGGGTTTTCGTCAGTTACAACCGACTGCGCACACGATCCGATAACTAACTTGGAGGGCATATAACAAGAAATTCGCGTCCGACAGAGGGCATCTTCAATCAGCATCAATTTCAGTGAAATTCGCTTTGGGAATCATCTTTTATTTTCTTTTCAGTATCTGTTGCTTTAAATTTTCTTGCAATTTGTACGGTATCTAGGGATTTTCAATTCCAGATATTATTGTAGTCAAATTCGAATTTATTTTTGGATTTTACTTTTTTATTGTTAGTTGAAACCAACATCAATAATTTGGCGAGCATAGCGGGAGTCGAGGCAATATTGCTGATCCCACGTCAGACAGAAATTTCATACGATTGAAGTCCGGCCGAATCATCGGAAGGATCCATATGGCAGGTTCACAGCCTCAAGTCTCTTTCACCACGGCGGGGGAAACAACATTACCTTCCGTGGTTAACACGGGGGATTTCCCCCAAGCACCCATAAACTGGGTGACATATGTTCAGCAGTTGAACAATCAACAGACACAAACCATGCAAGCAATATTGCGAGAGCAACAGAGTTTAATGCAAAATATATTGGATCAAACTTTGACAAGGGTGACTCTTCAACCCACCCAAACACCACTAGCAGCATCACCATCCAGATTACAGACGAACTTTGTTGGGCCATCTTAAGTAGACAACACCATCTCAAGTGCTGCTGTTAGAGGGGATAGAGGGAAAACGCCCCTGACATACCCGAACACAATCCCGTTGGGTGCCAGGGGAATTGATCAAGCAATGCTCGAGAGGGACGAAAGGATAGGAGGACAGGTCCATAATCCCATTCCGGTTTTCGATCATAATCCACCCAGGGTGGACCCAGAAGATATTGCTCAAGTGCTACGGGTGCATTTTGGCATGAATCCTCAAACGGTGAACATACCAACATACCAAAGGCCCTTTCCAGAGAGGGTTATCAACGAACACCCTCTCCCGAGAAATTATAGGCCGCCAGATTTCCACGCCTTCTCAGGAGAAGACGGTTCATCAACCATTGAGCATGTAGGTCGTTTCACGGCTCAACTAGGGGAAGTCGGTAACAATCCTTTCTATAAGTTACAATTGTTTGGATTATCCCTAACTAGAACAGTATTTTCTTGGTTTGCTAACCTTCCGGCCGGACAAATCCAAACCTGGGAGGGTTTGGAAGCAATATTTCACGCTAGATTCTTTAATCCTCTTCCGATGGTATCACTCACGGACTTGTTAGAGATCAAACAGATGCTAGAAGAAATAGCGTACCAATTCATCGAACGAATCCGTCTGATGAAAGGTCATTGTCTAACTGTGATTGAAGAAAGCGAGATGACCAATTTAGTGGTCAGGAATATGCATTCACGGCTACGGGAAGCTCTAACAGCATATGATGTTGGAGATTTAGCCAGTTTGGCAGCTAAAGCGGGTCGTTTGGAGTCTTTGTTTAGGGAAAAGGATCAGAATTACCGGCGACATAAAGCGCCAAATGGCTAGTGTGGAAATGGAAGTCTATTTGTCAGATGTCGAACAAGCCAGGAATGTGGAGGAGATGGCAGCAGAGATCGTACATGGGAAACCATATGTATGTCCAAATTTGAAACCGATTCCCAGGGTGCTAGAAAAGGATCAACCTACCTTCGATACATCTAAAGCAGATGATATATTCGACATTCTCCTGGTCGATGGGCAAATTCGAATTCCGAAAGGGCAACGTTTGGCAACCAAAGAAGAAATAAAAGGGAGGCCATATTGTAAATGGCATAACTCGTTTACTCACTACACCGGTCAGCGCACGCATTTTCGAAAGGAAATTCAAAGGGCTATTAAGCCCGGACGCTTCAAGTATATCACAATGGGAGTGGAGTAACAACCCTTTCCAAATGTAACTACTGCTATGATTTCTGTTCGTCCTTCATTGGATTGTTAGATGGAAGACGATGATGACACAAAGAGAAGGGAACGGAAGCCCAATGAGATAGTAGAAGAATCGAATGACAAGTTCAACGTTTGTGAAAGTCGGGTTGCAGAGAAATGGGATAGGGCCGATGGTACCTTTGAAGTAAACTTAAAGGATCGAGCTGTGGTTCGTGATCGACCGACCCGTAGACCACGGCAGGTGCATGACGGATGGATCAGGAATCGGAAGCCACGTCTAGTTGACATAGATCCGTGTTTTCCAGGTATGAATCGAACACAAATCTGCAATGCCAAACGCAGGTATGCTGCTCGTCATGGGAAAAAATCACATAAGCAACTACCAAAACCATCAGAACCACCACCAGGACGAAGAGGTCAAGAAGGCTTTGTTCTCAGGCAAAGAAGGGAAGAAACACACGTTGAGAATGCCCAGTGTTTTCGTTGTCAATTTTGTAGGTGAATTAATATTGATCCCGTGATGGAGGGAGGAGAGGAAAAACCATACAACGTGGTGTTTGGTTCATTTTCTCAAGATGAGATAAGGGATTACGTAGAGAGTTTCGAAAAACGGGAGGATCAGATAGTTCGCCATTTCAGGTCGGGATGACTGGCATGCATTGGTTCGAAGAGGAAGAATGGGCAAGCCTGAATGAGGTTATATGGAAGAAAAAGAGTGGACAAAGATAGCGATAGGTCCCACTTCGGTGCCAGAATTACCCCCACCAATGATCTTCCCGCCTTTGGCCGAAGGAGCGATCCTTCATTTAAAGCCGTTATACGTAAGTGCTCATATTTGTTGAAAGCTGATTAACAAAGTTTTTATTGATTTTCAATGTCATACCTCTGAGAACCCTTAAGAGGCTTGGAAAAGGAATCGGAAATCTATCTCCGATAGATATTGTATTGACCAGCTTTACAGGGCAACCGACCAAGCCAGAAGGCATGTTGGTCACTCCTATTGAGGTAGGGGCAAAGGTAATTTCTACAGTATTCTTTATGGTAGATGCAAAAACTACTTATTCAGTGCTGTTAGGAAGGGACTGGATTCACGCGTCCAAATGCGTTCCCTCGTCACTCCATCAGCAAATAATGTTCTGGGAAGGGGATCAGGTCTACAAGTTGGATGCTAATCAAAACCCCTTTGATGCTACATAAATCGTGGAAGAGTCGGTGCTGTATTCCGAGTACGTCCCTCCTATCTTCTCGAACAACCATGTTTGATCAAGAAAAACTATGGAAGAGCTGCAGGCTTACCACTCAGGGTTATGTGTTTCAATAAGAAACATTCTACGTATTTAGTGGCTCTGATGTTAGCCAGACTTCTGAAATTTTAATATCTGACTTTTATGGAAGAATTAAATACGTGTGATGTTTTAATTGAACAATTTTATTTAAACCAAATAATGGTTAAATTACGTAGCAATGGGGGGTGGAATAATTGTGTCACCGAGGGCGAATGTTTTCGTTGTCCAGACCTTCTGGAGAAAACAAAATCTTCTCTATCTTCACAAGATCCACTTACTGAATATAACCTTGGAACCGAACAGGTACCTAGATTGGTTAGAATAAGTAGCTTACTGTCCAAAAAACTACAAGATTAGATGATAGAGCTAATACGGAAGAATATAGAGTGTTTGGCATGGGATTATTCATAAATGCCTAGATTAGCGTGGGGTTTGATTGAGCATCGGTTGCCCATAAAAAACGGTTTCAGACCGTATAAGCAACCACCCAGGAGAATCAGAGTCCTGAGTTGCTCCCTCAAATTAAAGAGAAGATCGAAAAGTTACTGAAAGCAGGCTTTATTCGACATTGTCGGTACGCGGACTGGCTGTCAAATATCGTTCCTGTAACCAAAAAGAATGGAAAGATCAGGATATGTATCGATTTCAGAGATCTTAATTTGGCAACCCCGAAAGACGAGTATGTCATGCCTGTGGCAGACATGCTGATCGATTCGGCTGCCGGGTATAAGATTTTAAGTTTGATGGATGGATATGCTGGATATAATCAGATTTTTCTGGCAGAAGAAGATATTCCGAAGACCGCATTTAGATGCTCAAGGGCATTGGGAATTTACGAATGGACGGTAATGCCTTTCAGGTTGAAAAATGCAGGGGCTACATATCAGCGAGCTATGAATACCTTTTTTCATGATCTTATTGGGCATTAAATGGAAGTGTATATTGATGATGTAATAGTGAAATTGGCCGACTTCAGAACACACTTGGGCGACCTCGAGAATGCCTTTGCTCGGATGAAGAGGTACAATCTTAAGACGAATTCGAGTAAGTGTGCATCCGGGGTATCAACCGGGAATTTATTAGGTTTTCTGGTGCATGAAAAGGAAATAGAAGTGGATGCCAACAAGGCCAAAGCAGTTCGAGCAGTTCGGTTGCCCCGAACAATCAAGGAGGTTCAAAGTTTCTTGGGAAAGGTAAATTATTTGAGACGATTTATATCAAATGCCACGGGAAAACTAAGACCCATTACCAAGCTGTTAAAAAATAAAGCAGCCAATTTGGTTTGGGGTTTTGAGCAACATGAAGCATTTGAGGCAATTAAACAGGCAATAGCAGAACCCCCTGTGTCGGTTCCTCCAAAAGGTAACCAACCTTTAAGATTATATATAGCGAATAGTTTTGATGTGGTGAGTAGTCTCCTGGTCCAAGAATGGGATGATGGAAAAGAGAGGGCTATTTACTATTTGAGTAAGACCCTGACAGGGCCCGAGTTAAATTATACCACCCTTGAAAAAATTTGTTATTCTCCAGTGTTCACTTGTACCCGATTGGAGCATTATATCCTGCCAAGGGAAACTGAAGTGGTCTCCAAAATGGACTTGGTCAAGTTGCTCTTGCACAGGCCTACCATGCAAGGAAGATTGACGAAATGGGCTATCAAACTGGCCCTTTTTTCTTTAAAATAGAAACCACTCAAAGTAATGAAGGGTCAAGTGGTGACTGACATATTGACAGAATTTACTATAACTGAGTCTGAGGATAATGAACTAGTGCTTTATATAGGAACTAGTCCCTGGCGGATGTTTTTCGACGGTTCTCGGGCAAACGGAAGATCAGGGGCAAGAGTAATTTTGAAGGGACCTGGCACGCAAGAGATTATGCTGCAACTACGGATGGAGGAAGTGACCCACAATTCGGCTGAGTATGAGGCATTGATTTTGGGATTAGAAATGTTAGTGGCGAAGAACGTTCAACCGGTCGTCATTTATGGAGATTCACAGTTGATAATTAACCAAGTTCTGGGATGGTACATATGCAATTACCCTCATTTGCGTCAATATAGAGATGTGGTGCATCAATTACTTTCTAGAATTGCAGAAGTAACTGTCGAACACATCCCAAGAGCAGAGAATCAGCAGGCAGACGGTCTGGCCCAGGGTGCATGCAGGCAGATTAATGTGGGAAATATTAATATGTCTGCAGACTAGAGAACTGAGATTATTTCTTATCTGCAGCACCAGACCCATCAACACCTGTGGGGGTCCGGTTAAAAGCTCCGCATTTCCAGTTAGTGGAGGGAGTGTTATATAAAAGAACCATAGAGGAGGTTTTGCTGAGATGTTTGGGTCCGAAGGAATCCTTGGAGATAATGCAGGAGGTTCATAGTGGAATATGTGGAGCACATCGAGTGGGTCTTAACATGAGATGGGCTATTCATCGTATGGGTTTTTACTGGCCAAAAATATTTGAGGATTGCATTAAATTTTTAAGGGGATGCTAGGAATGTCAGAGACATGGCCCATTGAATCATTTTCCGTCGTTGGAGTTACAGACAATGGTTAAACCAAATGGCCTTTTAAAGCTTGGGAACTCGATGTTATTGGTAAAATCCATCCATCTTCAGCAAAACATCATTCATTTATTTTAGTGGCGATAGATTATTTTACCAAATGGGTCGAAGCGGTTCCTTTGAAGAATGTGACGCAAAAAGAAGTGATTGAGTTCGTGCTCAATCATATTATTTATCGGTTTGGAATTCCGTATACTCTCATCACTGATCAGGATCTGGTGTTCACATAAGAGAAGTTTATTGAATTTTTGGCAAGTTTTCACGTGAAACTTCACCATTCATCACCTTACTATCCACAGGCCAACGGGCAGGCTGAGGCAGCAAACGAAGATCATTATTAATATCATTCGGAAAATAATAGAAGAAAATCCCAGGAAGTGGCATACGTTGCTGCCTCAGGCTTAATGGGCTCACCGGAACAGTAAGAGTTCGTCCACAGGATTCTCTCCTTATCAGCTCACATTTGGTCAGGACACCGTACTTCTAGCCGAACTCAACATATACACTTTCCGAGTGGCTCATACTAGCATGGACCACACGATGGAATATCAGCAAAGTGTGGGCGCAATATTATGGGAATAAGGTGTCTCCTCGAACTTTTTCGGAAGGAGATCTAGTATGGAAAACAATATTACCCACATGCAACAAAGTTGATCAGTTGGGTCAATGGTCCCCGAATTGGGAGAGGCCTTTCATCATTCACAAAAAGATCGGGAATAGAGCTTTTATTATTGTGAATCAAGAAGGGAAATTGGTACATGAAAATATTAACGCGAAGTACCTGAAAAGGTATTTTCCTACCTTTTTAGAGCACTGTCGTCAATGTTTATTGCATAAAATCTAAGAACCCTTTGAGGGTTTGAACCCACAGGAAAGGGTTTTATTCATCATCCGAAAGGGTGATACAAACATGATCATCTTCTGACTCAGGATCTTCGTCCCAATTGGCAGTAACCACTTCGGGTTCCTCGTCAAGGAAATCTTCCAGGTCAGGATGATAAAAATTCCACTGGTCTTGCATTTCTTGAAGGTCTTGTTCGGTACGAACCTTCATATCTTGTAGGGAATGACGTTTTCGCTCGACAAGAATGCACAATCTGGAAAGTGTTGACCTTTGGTGACAAAAAATGTTGTTCCAATTAAGGTCAGGAAGAATTGCCATAACATAATGGTCTATCATGTCCATATGATGATCAAGGTCTGATATGCGGGTGAGAATGTCGGTGAAGGGTTCATAGACAGTGGACACACGTTCCATGAGGCGAATTGTACGATGTATGATTTTTCTACCCCTGCCAGAAAATTTGAATTTAAAATGAAGTTGTTTGAGCACTTGTATTAGGTCTTCAGCATGATGGCCTACAGGGTTTTTGCCTACAAAAAATGGTTGCAGGGAACTTTCCTAGTTGGTGGAAAGAATACGGATTCGGGGAGAAGCCATGTTTTGAAAGGATCGAAGGTTTGCTGTGATTTGTTCTTTTGAGGTTTGATTTAAATAGGTAATTCCTGTTTTAATTATGTGGTGAAAATTCATGGATCAGTGATCGGAAAATAGGGTAAAATTAAGGTGAGAGATTACATTTATATATACAAGGTTTGACATTGTCTACATTTATAAAAGGAGGGCTCTAAGGGCGGTTACTAGGTCCGCCTATTTTTGCTCAGATCGGGCCGTCCTCCATTGTTGGAAGGCCGCCTAGTGTTCTTGTACAAGCCTCGACAAAATGCTTGCTTGTAGTTGGCCATGGATCCTTGCTTGGGTCTTGCGATGTTTTGTCACCAGGCAAACTCCTTCTTGAATGCATCCGTCTAGAGTCTCCAGTTCCTTTTGAAGGCCTTCAAGTTCTTTCATCTTCTGGGAAATCTCGGTGGCCAAATTGTATCGCGCGTGCTGGAGCTCACTCAACCGGGTAGAGGCTTTATTAAGGTCTTCCGTCGCTCTTGACAGGGAAAACTCAATGGCCACGGTGTCGGGTGCTGGTTGAGACGGTGCAACGTCGGATGCTAGAGGTCGGATCAAGGGTAGGTCAGCTTGAAGCTCGGTGATCCTCTCCATCATCCGACTGAGTATTGGAGCTGCGGCAGACTCAGCAGGAGTCTGCACCAGCAAGTCAATGGCCAGTTGAGCTAGAGAATCAAGGTCTCCAGGACTCAAGTCGGCGAAAGACGGGTCGGTGCAGCGCATCACTACCGGTCAGGCAAGCCTTAGCAAAGGCACCCTGGTGAGAAAGTTGATCTCACGAGTTACCTAGTAGAGGACGGCCGTGGCCTCGGAAGGGGCCAAGAGAACCGGGGCCAGTGGTGGAGGACCAGATCGGATCCTCGTCTCGGCAACCGATTCGGCCGTCGCAGAATGGGGACCGATGAAACCTGGCTCCGAACCCTAAAGGAATAAAAGTTCAAATTAAGAAGGGTTGAACTTAGAAAATGAGAAACTATAGAAGAAAGGAATGCTAACCACAGCTTCGCAATTCTGGTTGACGGAAGCATCGCTCGACTCCTAGGAGGAGAGTTGGATTGGTTCGGGATGTTGGATTGGTTCGGGATTTTGGACTGGTTCGGGATCCTGGACTAGTTCAGGGTTTTCTTAGACTGGTTCGGGAGCCGGCCAGGCTAGTTCTGGGTTCGGCCAAACCAATTCGGGAGCCACCGACGGATGGTGCTCGGTGGCGACCGGTTCGGCCATAGGAGCAACCGCCGCGGGCTCCTAAGATAAAAAGTATGAATTAATTAATGGAAGGAAAGAATATAATCTTGCAATCAGTTTAGACTCACCGGAAGCAATTTGTACAGGAAGAGGTAGATGTTGATGAGGAGAATGTTGGGTCCTCCTCCCGACGAATCAAGGGCAGTTCCTTTGGTGGATTTGTCTGCTGTGGAATGACCACAACAGCGGGCGAAGAAGGAACAGTCTGTGTTCAAGGAAAAAGGCGAAGTTAGTAAATAGAATTTAGAGAAGGAAGGGGGTGTTGGAGATTACCTTTTTTCAATAGGGGGTTTGGCGGTCGGGCGGTTGGCAGGAAGGTCGGTTGGTTGATCAGCAGGCTGGTCGGTTGGTTGCTCGGCGGCCAGGGGAAGCGACTCTTGAGACAAGGGTTGTCAGAAGCACAAAAGATAGAAAAGGTAAAAGCTAAATTAGGTTAGTTCTTACCAAGATATCGGCGAACATTGGCGGGTAACCAAGCAAGATCCATGGGTAAGGACACCAGATAGTCCTCTACCGCCCGCCGATCGTACGCTGGCTCTGTGGTGGCCTTGGTCCGGGCGGCTCTCTTCTTTTTCTTCGAAGCACCCGCCCGCCTTTTCCTGGGGACGGTTGCAAGGGGAGGAGAGCCCAAAGCAAGGGCTGGAAGGGGAATGAGCAACAGTTGGTCGGAAAGAGGGGCCACCACAGCCCAGGTGGCCGACCACTAGGAAAGAAAGGCCTCAACCGAATGAGGGTTTCGACGGAAAGGGAAGTAAGAGTTGGACGTTAGATAAGAAGAAAGTTGGGAGAGATAAGACAAAATTAAGGTAGGGATCACTCGCCTGTCGGGACTTTGGGTTATTAAATATGGTCAGGCGAGTGGGCCCGGGAGACCTTGACAGCAGCCGAACTGTCTAGACAAAAATTGCAGCTGATAATTAAGAGTATAAAAAGATTTGTGATTTTTCTTGTCAAATTTCTGACTGGAAAAAAAGGATCGGGGTTTGAGAGCCGAATCCCAGTAATAGGGATAGGTCAGATGAGGCAAAGGATCTGGGTATGGATGAGAGTAATCTGTATCCGGGTAGGGCCAAAATAATTATGTGGCGTACTGTACGTAAGTCTCATAAACAAAATATTTGGAGTTGCTACGGTCGTCCGAAAGAATGGTAGCAATTACAGAGTCGGAAGGGTGGAGTGTGGAAGAATTTTGGGTCAGTTGGGCGAGGTATAACCCTAGTGACCTCTGAGGGTTCGGGGATATAGGCAGCCGACCAAAAAAGACTTTAGAAAAATAGAGTCACAACCAAAGCTCAAGAAACCAAAAAGGCCAGAGGAAGCCGTGTCCGCCCTTTTGGTATCGAGAAGGCAGACACTGACTCTTGATAAACCCTCGTATAAATTGGCCAAAAGGAGGGTTCCTAATGAAAAAAATCGGCCAATGGCTAGGTGAATGGCTAAATCTAATTGCGAGGTCAAAACTGATTTAGAAAAGGATAGAATTATGTATCTGTAGAGGATACAAGGATAATTCAAAATTCAAATAAATATATATAAAATTGACCAGGCGAAGGAACCCACATACCTGCACAACTAGAACAAAAGGAAGACGGTGTGCTCCAAGGCGGTCGCTGGGGAACCATCCGCACCTTGATGTCGGACAACAAAATTGGTCCATTCCCTGTCTTTTTCGGTGGTGCGGGCAATCGACCAGCCTTCGTGGTCGGGTTCCGGCTCCTGACCATCCAGAGAGCCCAACACCAGATCGTCACCCACGATAGGGAGATTGGCGATCAGCGCCACATTCATTAAGGTTGGGCTAATTGGACCAGAGGGGAGAAGGAAAACGCCCAGTTGTGCGTTCCAGAAGGCCGCCATGGCTAGAAGGACTTTGTCATGAAGATATAGGGGTTGGGTGGAAAGGTAAATAGCCTTGTTGATCCCCTGTAGTC